GAAATAGAAGCAATGCTCTTCATATTAGACAATGGCATGTGGCCTAATCTGTTATGCCATAGGCTTACATCATTAGAAACTGAACTTAAACATGAAACAGAATTTGAAAACTTAGTACTACTGTTCTGTTTACAAAAAGAATAGAAAATTGCTTTGATTCTACTAATAACTCTAGCTCTAGACTTGACTTAATTTTGATTGAAAATATAGAGTCCCTACTTTACTTCACCAAGCACCACTAGCCTCTTCATTAAAGGGGCCTGCAAAATAGCACCAAAGGAAGTAAATATTAGGATGGAACTAAGCTGGAGACACAACTTATGAACATAGAGTAAGTTGTAATTGAAAGTGAGAATAAACAAAACATTTTAAAAAGTGAAACCAGGTAAGATAGTAGCACAACCTGATTGAAAGACTAAAACTCTAAGTGAATTGGGTAAATTCACATAAATTGGCTTAGGGAGATTTCTAACATTGAACAAAAGTCCCAAATCCGAGGTCATATACTCAGAAGCACCAGAGTCTATTATCCATGAAACAGAATTTAATGATACACTAATATAGGATCTAGAAGAGGAGAAACAAGATGATATACTAGCACAATTGGCATAAACAATGTCCTAATTAATCTATTCACCCTGTTTCCAATTTTAACATGCTGAAGAAGCTGATATAGACTGTGATATTGGTCCTAAGTTATTGGCTTGTCACCAGAGTTAACTAAATGGTTCCCTTGTTCTTTTGTAGTAAGAACTACATTACTTTTAGGACCAGAAGTAAGCTTTTTAGACTTGGTAAATTTGAAATCAGCTGGGAACCCAATGAGTCTGTAGCAATCATCAATGGTATGATTCTGCTTCTTGCAATAGGAGCGGAACTGTTTCCTTCCATCTACATATGTTTTCTTGTCATTGTATAACCTGTGTGCTCCATATTATTATTTTGCTGCTAGGAAAGATCCTTCACCGGGATGATGTGAAAGCTGAACCTCTCTTTCTCATCCCTAATGAGCAAAGGAGTAGGCATGTTTGATGGAAGGCATAGGTGATAGCATTAGCAAGCTGCTCCTAGGGCCTGAATATGCATCATTCAAGCCCATAAGAAATTGAATCAGCCTTCCATCCTGCTGCGATTTGAAGGTCTTCGACTTTCCTCCACAAGAGCAATCACAGGTGCAATATTGACAAGTGTCCAAACTGTCGAGCTCATCCCAAAGCCTTTTGAGCTTGGTGTAGTAAGCTGCTATATCCAAACTTCCTTGGACTGACTCACTGATTTCCTTTTGCAAATGGTAAAGTTGGGACCACGGCTTTGTCCAAACTTCTCTTCAAGCTCAGTCCAAATCTCCCTGGCAATCTTGGGGTAGAGAACACTCTCTGTTATCTCCTTAGAGAGAGCATTTAATAGTCAGGAGATCACCATGTCATTACAATGAGCCCAAGATTTGAAAGAATCAGAGGAGATCTTGGGTTGAACAAAGGTGCCATCTATGAATCCCACTTTGATTTTAGCAGACAAAGCAATGAGAATCCCTCTACGCCATCCTCTATACCCTTTTCCATCAAATACAGAATTCACTAAAAGCATCGCTGGGGATTCAGATGGATGGAGATAAAAAGAACTGGAATCAGCCATAGATTTCTCAGATGCAGCAGAAGCAGTAACGTTTGCGAGTTGAAAGTCCTAGATTCTGAATTAGAAGGATCTCCCATACTAGATGAAATGAGCTAACCAAGAAAGACTGAAAGAAATTAGGGGAAAAAACGAGGAAGAAGATGGAGGAATCATCCCTTAGAGCTCTGATACCATGTTGGATTTCAAGGATAAGAAAATGAAGATTGAGATGTTTTGAAAGTTTTCTCTGTATTCCAAATGTTTGCTGTACAAGAATATATACAAGAGAATGGAGGAAAAAATAAAATCATATACACTTGTCTAATTCCTACTAGCTATTGTATAACTAACTATCTGACATAGTAAAAAGAATATTCAATCAATTCATGTCCTAAATTATATACACGTATGCAAGATTGTTCCAGAAAGTGCAAGGAAATAGCTTGACACCTGTGACACAACCTTACTAAATGGAAAGCCAGGATTTAATTAATTAGGAAAAAAATGGACGGTGGTGATCTAAGTCTCATAATTAACCCTTTGAACATTGTAATCTCCGAACTCTCTCATTTGTTGTGTTCGAAGTCTTATCTCCTTTCTTCTTCGCCATTCAAAGCTCGAATCTTCTGTAAATCACCACCATCTTCTATAGAATTTGAATTCCCGAGGTCAACAATTCTATTCAATAAGGCTTAGACATATGAGAAAAAATAATCGGGTGAACTATTACTTCTTTACCATAAAATAGTAGAGAAAAATAAGGTTGGAAAAAATTGAAAAGAACGGAAAGAAGGAGCCCAACGTGTAGGGAAAATATTTATCCCAGCTCAATAATTGCACTAAACAAAATAATTAGAGCGCGAAGATATATCATTTAACTATAATTAAATTATGAAAGCTGGTAAATAATTACCCGCACCTGATAAGATGCAAAACTAAGAAAAAATAGAAAGTACAGTTGTTATAATAATGAGAAAATGCATAAAGACCCCATATATTCAACTTGTTCTGGAAAATCATTTACACACCTAAACTTTACGGGTGTCCTATTACCACCCTATCCTTATCCAAGATGAATTTATTTAACCCCTAAAATGCCACAACCAAATTCTACCCAAGTAGTGTTTACACGCGCTGACACGTGGCATTTTCGCAGGTTTTTTCATTTTTCTTCTTTCTTTAACTGGAATAATCGTCCCCCTCCCCCAACCAAACCTTTACCTTTCTTTCTCTCCTTAAAAATATTCCGAACATTTTTATCAACTTTTCCAGCTCGCCTAAGAAATTTCAGTCATATATGTCGGATCTCCATCGGCAACCAAATTACAACTAAAGAAGTGACTTTTTCAGAAAAAGTCTTTTTGATGGAACCTTTGCAAGAGAAACTAGCTGACTATATTTACAAGAAAATGGTCTCTCTTTTTGGGTTTTTCTCGTCAATTTTCTTCTTCCATCTTGGTCAAAAGATAAATATATAAAGTAAAGTTAATGTATAGAGCACAACTGCAAAGCAAGAGGAAGCTAAGAAAGATCCAATAAAGTGTTGGGTTTTCGTTTTCACCTTGGTTGTTTGCTCCGGCCAAGCTGTGAAGAACAATTGGAGGGTGGAGGAGATGATAAAATAGATGTAGAAAGAGCTATCAGTCTTTAATTTTTGTTCTGTTACGATTATGATTGTATGGTGCCGCTCTCTTGTGACAATGGAGGAAAGAGAAAGAAGAAAAGGAAAGAGGAAAGAGAAGAAAAAAAAAACAGAAAAATGAAAATAAAAAGGGTTAGTATTACAAATACAACTAATTAAGTGTAACTAAATGTAACAACCAATGGAAAATTAACATCTGTAAATTTAAGTAACTTTTTACATTTTCTCAGCCTTCCACGCGCTTTGAGTAAGGTAAAATTAGTTTCTGTGCCACCTCACCTTTGAAGGAGGTACTATTTTCACTTTGAATAAGAATAGGTGGTACTAGGACACCCGTAAAGTTTAGGTATGTAAATAATTTTCCAGTGCAAGTTGAATGGGATCTTTATGCATTTTCTCTATAATAATTGAGATGCTACTAAATTTTCAATAGGCTAAAAGAAATTTCCATCACTATCCATTGATTAGAATAATTAAGCATTATAATACTTCAACAAATCACAACCAGAAACGTTAACTCTTTAAAGAACAAAAAGACAAGCCGTCACTTCCATGTCTGATTTAAAAAGCTAATGGCATTGTGGTCCTAATCCTTATTAATTAATAATTAATCTTTCTCATTATATGATTGTCATTATTATCAAACATGATCTGTCAAGTTGCCCACGGAACTTATTATTTTAGAAGAATTAACCCAAATAATCGCTCATTCAACCATTTAAACTAAAAATAGCCTGTTGAAGTATAACATATGTATAATTTATATATTATATGTTTATAATTATGTATAATCGATGTATAATTTATGTATATGATTAAAAAAATAAACATAAATATGTCGTTTATTTGTGTAAACATCCCTTTATTTTACTATATAAAGTAGCATCAAAACAATAATAAAAAAGCATTGGTTGTAACAAACTGAAAGATTTGCCAAAAAATACGATATTGAAAGATATTATATATACTATTCAACGAAATAGTATATACAGCATATAGGACGAATTTTTTATTTTTTTTGCTGATATTTTGGAATTGAAACTTTAATTAATCAAATGAAAAATCCGTGTTTTGTTGAATATAACCAATTAGGTAGATAAGGTTAGTTGATAAGAGGTGCCAAATGAGACTTAAACTCAAATGGTTAATTATTTAATTCATCTATTCCAAACACCAGCTAGTAGCTAGCTAGGTCATGATTTAATTATCATTGCTGGTGAAATTAATTTCATATTATAATCGATCATTTGTAATAGTATTTGTGACTTAGCTTGTTATGATCAAATAATAGTATTAACCTTTTAACTTATAGTATCTCAACTGAAATGCATGTCTAAATTACTACTCCTATCATCTAACACTTTAACATTGTATATCAAAGTACTAGAAATGTTAAGTTTAAGTTTCACCGTTATTTTTTTTATTAAAAATTTACGATATACTCCTTTCGCTTCAATTTATTTGTCTAATTTAGCTGGATATGAAATTTAAGCAAAAAAGAAGACTTTTAAAAGGGTTATTATCACTTTTAGTCCGTGCCAAAAATTATTTACATCTGATAGCCGAAAAAATGTATAAAATTTGTATAATTTTTATATATGACATACAGAATGTATATATATACAAAAAATATACAAATTATATACATTTTTTCGACTATTATTTTTACGACGGCTATACAGTGTCTTTTTTTCAAATAATATCATTCTTTTTTAAAGATACACGACTATTTTAGTAAACGTTTTTCTTTATCTCTACGTTCTCTCTCACTTTCTTTATTATGTATGAAATGAGCGGAGAACTGTAAACAAAAGCTCTAACGATAAACCATGGCGTTTCAGGACCATTTTTCTCAAGAATTAGCTCTACAACAACACCAACAACAAAACACCGACGACGTTTCGGATCATTCGATGAGCTTCTCGATGAAGCTAAGTCAACAATATAGAGGAGAGAGGGTAGACGAGGTCAGTAACAACAATAACAACAACAATAATAACGACAGTTGGGAGAGCGAGAAATATAAAGCCGATATTTTGAACCATCATTTGTGCGATCAATTGCTGTCGGCACACGTGGCTTGCCTGAGAATCGCTACGCCGGTGGACCAGTTGCCGAGGATCGACGAGCAGTTGACGGAGTCTCAGAATTCGGTGGCTAAGTACTATGTTGTTGGCCAAAGTCAACGGCCTATAGATGATAAAGACCTCGATCAATTTATGGTAATTAATTTTCCACTTAATAATTTCTTTGTTTAATTTACTTTATGTACATGGATACGTTCTATATATTACCATATGCATATGATTATATTATGATTTCATTGAAAAATCGGATGATGCAGTTTATATGTTTTTTCTCGTTGTTCCAAATGGGGGGAGAGTTGGTGTAGGTTCGGTGATTAGCTAAAATACACTACTAAAACATAGGAATTAGGGACGGATAAATTCTGTAATTAAACAAAAAAATCCATCGTTTATCCTATTTAGTTACGGATTAGCACTAGATTATCAAAAAATTTATGTTAGCTACGAGTGATTTAGCGACAGATTAGCGACAAAGTTCGTGACTTTTAATCTCCGCAACGCTTCTTTAGGTTTTTTGGTTCTTTGGGTTCTCTAAATGTTTAATGATTGGTTGATTTCTGGAAAATGTGTTTCAATCCTATATATTGAAGATTTTTAATTTATTGAACTTTTTGAATGACTGAGAAATCCCTAAAGGTCAGCTGGCTCACCAATCATAACATATAAATAATGGGCTTACCGTTGTATTCTAATTCACTTAAAAATACCAAGCTTTTTAATTATATGCGACAAAATTCGATGTCATGATGTATCTAAATATCACATCATGCATTGCACGCTTACTACTAGACTAAAGCTCTGGATTCCGGGGACAAGATTGTGGTTGAATTTGGAAATATAGCTTTCTTTTATGTGATTCTAGTCCTTTGATATTAGTCATTCATTATAATCAGTAGCTTTATATATATATATATATATATATATATATATATATATATTGCTTGAGGTTTACCTCTATGTTTAAAAATGCTTATATCTTTTTGAGTTAATTCGATGAAGATGCATGGAAATATGGTTGTAATATGCTACCAATTGAGTGTTAAACTAGTTGTACTGTTTATGTGATAAGTTGTCAAGTTTATAACTCAGTAATCTGAGCCTTCTAGTTCTTGAGATAGTGATATATATGAGCTTAATTAGTATAAAACTTACATTAATGCTTCGTCGAAACTGGTTTAGTTTTGTCATAATTGTTTCTGAAGCATCAGTTGAATATATCCATGCATTTATGGAGAAGGATTTTAATTTATTGGACATGCTTCTATATATCTAGAATCTAGGAGTATCATTTGCTCAAATACGATCAAAAGACTAGTGTTTACACCAAATCAACAGATGAATAATACGTATTTTAACATAAACTATGGTTCATCAACATATATTCTCATAATTGTTACTCCCTCCATTCCAGTTTATGTGAACCTATTTCCTTTTTGGTTCGTTTCAAAAAGAATGAACCCTTTCTAAATTTAGTAACAATTTAGCTTAAACTTACAACTCTACCCTTAATGAGAGGCTTTTATAACCACACAAATACTATGAGCTCCATCTGGACTTGTTTAGGACCACAAATTCCAAAAGTCTTCATTTTTTTCTTAAACTTCGTGCCCAGTCAAACATGTTCACATAAATTGGAACGGAAGGAGTACTTAACTCTGATAAATTAACGTGATTTGAGATGCAAACAACATATGCATACTAATAACGTGTTTGGCCAAACTTCTCCAATCCATTAAAAAGTGTTTTGTTTCAAAGTTGGAGTGCTTGGCCAAGCTTTCGGAAGAAAAAAAAAGTGCTGATTTTTGAAAAAATACACTTAAAATCAGTTTTTAAAAGTTTGGCCAAACACTAACTGTTGTTCAGAAGTGATTTTCAAATTAATTAGCCAAACACAAACTGCTTCTCACCAAAAGTAATTTTGAGAAAAACACTTCTCAAAATAAGCTGATTTTTGCACCTTGGCCAAACGGGCTATGTGTCTTTGCCCTTTACGTTCTATTCATTAATGTACAAATTTTTTGTTCTATCTGATTGGAGTTGACTTACTACAAGTTTCTATAACAAGTAATTCTCTATGCCAAGTCTGATATAATAACCTGATAGACTAATAATCAACTATAATAACTAATTAAATTACGATATGAGTATAAATATTCTTCACACTGTCAATATATATAACTTAACCTATCTTGTTTTTATTTTTATTTTTTATGTAGACACATTATGTTCTGCTGCTCTCTTCCTTTAAAGAGCAACTGCAACAACATGTTCGTGTCCACGCAATGGAAGCAGTCATGGCTTGTTGGGAGCTTGATCAATCTCTACAAAACTTAACAGGTCACACAATATTCTCTAGCAACTCTATTTTTCAGATTTCTCCTACTATAACTAGCCTATCTCACTTGTTACTTGATATTTTGATGAAATACTCATCACCTATATTAAAAGTTCACCGTTACTGGAATTATTGCCTGAGCCAAAATTTTTATTAAGACGTGTCAAAATATATAGGGAGTCATATACATAAAAATAAATTTGTGACCTAGCTAAATATCGTAACTTTACGGCAAGGGGTGTCAAATTGACACCCCTTAGCATAAGGTGGCTCCGTCACGGACTGAAATAGAAAGAAAAGAAAAACTCTTCTCCACCTTTTCAACCATTACATACACACTTAGGCAAAGGTAGACCATGGATGCATCTTTTATATATTTTCGAAGAATCTTTTTACCCTATTAGAGATTCTGATGCCAGTAAGAAACATCAAGAACTTCTACTACCTTTCATTTTTATTTTTATTTTGCATAAAATTGGCCTAAGATGAATTTAGTTCGGTAGGGATTCATATAGCCGGTCCCAACTTGTTTGGAATTGAGACGTAACTATTATTGTATTAAAGTCTGAACTCATAATTTCATAAGTACAATGAATTCAATACTAAAAACCGAATGATTAAACTCATCAAGTTTGAATTCTACATCCATTTTTGTGTCACTTTTGAATGGTATAGTGATAATTGGATATGATTTGCTAACAGGGGTAGGACCAGGAGAAAGTACAGGTGCAACTATGTCAGATGATGATGACGACCAATTAGCAGAAAGTGAGACAAACACAAACTGTTATAATGGAGTTTTAGATGGATCAGATAGCACTGGCTTTGGTCCTCTTGTACCTACTGAAAGTGAGAGGTTCTTAATGGAACGTGTGAGACAAGAATTGAAACAGGAGTTCAAGCAGGTAAAGAATCATAAATTGGTTACTGTTCAATGATTTGTTAGTGTGATAATTTAGGATAGATTCTCCAAGTTCAATTGAACTCATTGCTTTTCGACTCGAATTATATACACATGCGAAAAAATCTGAATTAAAAGGCATACATATAATAATAGCATCACACTCGTCAGCCATCGAAGCCTTGGAACAATCGTAAAATCGTCTCCGTATGACCACGGATTCGAATCGTGAAATGATCCCTACTGATGCTTGCATCAACGTAGGCTGTCTATGTCACACTTCCTTGGAGTGCGGTCCTTTCTTAAACCTTGCGTAAATGTAAAATGCTTCGTGAATTGGACTGTCCCATTTTTACATTCTTTCAATCCGTCAATTCTGAATTTTGGATACGCCTTTGTCTGTTAACTACATTTAGTTTCCTCTTTTTTCTTTTCTAGGGTTATAAGGAAAAGATTGTGGACATTAGAGAAGAAATTTTACGCAAAAGAAGAGCAGGAAAGCTGCCTGGTGACACTACATCTGCCTTAAAAGCTTGGTGGAAGTCACATTCCAAGTGGCCTTATCCTACAGTAAGTATACTGTAATTCTTCATAATAAGTTTGATATGATAACACAACAACAATAACTACATATCCAGTATAATCCCACATAGTGGGATCTGGGGAGGGTAATGTGTACGCAGACCTTTCCCCCTACCTTGTGGAGGTAGAGAGGCTGTTTCCAATAGACCCTCGGCTCAGGTAAGCATAGGTACTTCAATAATAACAAGAAAACAAGACGGGACAAACCCGAAAAACCATGTAAAAGCACCATACATAACAAGATAGTAAGATAATCGAAATGCAAAAAAAAGGACAGGTATTCAAATAAGCCTACTACCAACCAAATGCGAGAGTACGTAACACCACCGGTATGAATAATCTAGAATACCTAACCTACTATCCTAATCTTCGACCTCCATACCTTCGTATCACAGGTCATGTCCTCGGTCAGCTGTAGTTGTGCCATGTCATGCCTAATCACCTCAACCCAACTCTTCTTCGGCCTACCTCTATCTCTCCTAAGTCCCTCCAATGCAACCTCTCACACCTCCTTACCCGAGCGTCTGTGCTTCTCCTTCTCACATGTCCAAACCATCTAAGCCGTGCTTCCCGCATCTTGTCCTCATCAGGGGCCACACCCACCTTGTCCCGGATAACTTCATACCTAATCCTATCTAATCTAGTGTACCGCGTATCATGATATTATAAGTTACATGATGTTATAGGTTAACCTTCGTTTCTTGATAGTGTATAAATTTTTACATGTTGAGTTGACCTATAACATCATGTAACTCTTCGCAATAAGTCAAATATGGTAACTCGACAAATAAAGTAACAGTATCTAATATAATGGATTAAATTGCACTGATAGACCAAAAATTCCCTGTATGATAACTTGTTAATCCTTCATAACATTATTCACTTTATGGGAACAAAACTATATTAGGAGGAAGATAAAGCAAAGTTAGTGCAAGAGACAGGGTTGCAACTAAAACAGGTCAACAATTGGTTCATCAACCAAAGGAAAAGGAACTGGCACACTACTCCATCATCTTCTTCTACACAGAAAAGCAAACGAAAGAGGTAGGATGATTCACTTAATTACTGTTATAACTTTATCACATGCTTTACAAAGTTTATACTTACTAATTCTGATTTTTGGTAAAAGCAGTGCAGGTGAAAAATCAAGAACTGATCACTTTACATGATGGGGAACACATGCCGGCGAACTTAAAAAAATGTATTTGGTACGATGGAAGTCATTTTATGTACCGAAAGGTATTTTCTGGCGGTTGATCTGCAAACCTATATGGATTACTCTCTCTGTTTGCTTTTACTTGTCATATTTCGCTTTTCGAGAGTCAATTTCTCTAATTTTTAAGCTAAACTGCATTAGATTTTCTTAATATTTTAAAATTAAAATTTAGATATTCGAAATTTTTCTCATATCAATATGGTAAAAAAATCCATGTTAAAACGTCGGTCAAATTTTATGTAGTTTGACGCTCGAAAAACGAAACATGACAAGTAAAAGTGAAAGGAGGGATGTCACGACCCTAACCCCGGTCGTGATGGCGCCCAACACACTGCTAGGCAAGCCCGACCAATTCAACAACCTTAACCCTTTTTATACAGCTCATGATTTAATTAACACAAATAATTACTAAGTCATAATACTGAAACTCTGAAACATAGTTAAAACATGCGGAAAACCCAAGTAGAAATACTACTACACAACCCGAATAATCCGGTGTCACAAGTCTGAGCCTCTAATACATGAGTATCAACCTACTACATATCGTTCTCTAGAAATGCGGAAATAAAGCAAATAAGATAGAAGGAAGATCAGGACTGCGAACGTCAAATGCAGCTACCTTGAAACTTCTAGATATGATGCTAGGCAGAGAAGTCCTCACACGGCCTCAGGTGTACCTGGATCTGCACGCAAGGTGCAGGGAGTAATGTGAGTACTCCGACCCAGTGAGTAATAAACATAAATAAAGGTTGAGAATAAGAAATTCTGAATAGGCACAAAGTAATTCTATAAATACAGCAACTTGAACCCAGTAGTATAAAATCAGTAAAATTAGTGAAAACAATTATGGAAAATCCCACAACAGATAAATAATTAAATGACAATCAAGTATGCAATGCAACACATAGACCGGTACTCCAATACCCGCTGCGGCGTGCAGCCCGCTCCATTTATTTATCATCGACGGCGCTCACTGGGGGTGTGCAGACTCCGGGAGGGGCCCCTTACGGCCCAAGCGCAATAATAAGCCATATCGTGGCATCAACTAGGCCCTCGGCCTCATATCAATATCAATTTCATACGGCTGCGGCACGCAGCCCGATCCCATACTCAGTCGAAAATCACATAAGCCTCTCGGGCACATTAATATAGAAATATTCAGCCCAAACTTCATTTAAAAATATTAATTAAGTTTCTAGTTTGAGAAAAGTGGATGAGTTTGCAAAACAGTATTAAATTCTAGGACTGAGTTCAATGATATGTAGAAATGGTAAGAAACCAGTAACAACAATCCCTGAAGGATTTAATCAATTGGCACGAAGCCCAAATATAGCAATCAGCTCAATTAAAATAATAATAAGTGAATTTCAGTCAAATACGCAGTATATTCATCTACCGGGACGGACCAAGTCACAATCCCCAACGGTGCTCTACCCCACGCTCGTTACCCGGCGTGCAAGTCACCTCAATATAGCACTACGATGTGCAAACACGGGGTTTCAAACCCTCAGAACAGCATTTACATCTATTACTCACCTCAAGCCGGCCAAAATCCTAACTCGCTATGCCCTTGCCTCTCAAATCGACCTCCTCGCACGTCGAATCTGACCAAAACCACAACGAATACGACACATTATGCTATAGGATCAATACCCAATCGAAAATAATCGAAAAACATCAATAATCCCGAAATTGACAAAATCCGAGCCCCGAGCCCACTTCTCGAAACTCAGAAATTTTTACAGAAAAGTGTTCTTCATCTTCTCCCGATTCCGTACATATAAAGAACACCAAAATCGGAGTCCGTTTGACCCCTCAAATCGACCCCTAAAGGTCTCATAATCTCAGGCCCCAAAATCCTATTTTTCTACTGTTTTTCATGAATTAAAGGCTGGTATTACGGTCTATAATCACCCATAAACGAGTTTTAATAATCAAATCACTTACCTCTGTGATACCCACTGATTTTCTCTCTTAAAAATCACCTCAGAAGCTTCTTCCCGTTCAAAAATTGGAAGAAAACTCGATCTGCTCATTATAGGTACACTGTTCACGCGTTTTACTGCTCCTAATGGATTCCTTGTGAAATTCTAATGAATTTAGGCTTTTGAATCACTCAATTTGACCTTATAATGAAGGAGATATGTAGGTTTTAAGATTTGTAAATAGTGAAGGTTTTTAATACGCCGTCAGGGGCAATTTCGTCATTAACCTGAAAATCTGGGCAACCTTGGTAAAATGGCCATAAAATCCTCATACGATGTCCAAATTCGACGATTCTTTTTAATACGGGTCCGTAATTACGATACGGATCTAATGCTTCATTCAAAACAGTAATCGGAGCTCATTTGTTCAATATGATATCATTTATGCTTGAAGAAACGACGTCGAAGCATAAGAAAAACGAGCACAACGCAACCCAAACCTATCCGAAACTCACCCGAGCTCCTCGGGACCGTATACGAACATACTAACACGTCACCTATGATCATTCAAACTTAGTTGCACTCTCAAAACTCCAAAACTAACATCAAAACACCAAATTTACATCGGATTCTAGCCTAAGTTCTTCTAAAACTTCCGAAACACGCATTTGATCAAAAACCCAACCAAATCACCTCCGAATAACCTGAAATTTTGCACACACATCCCAAATCACCTAAAGAAGCTACAGCCACTCTCGGAATTCAGTTTCGACCCTCGGATCAAAATCTCACCTATTAACCGGAATTCGCCAAAATACTAACTTCGCCAATTCAAGCCTAATTCTACACCGGACCTCCAAAATCACTTCCGATCACACTCCTAAGTCACAAATCATCCCCCGAAGCTAACCGAATCGTCGGAATCCACATCCGAGCCCTCTAACTTATAGGTCAACATCCGGTCGATTTTTCCAAAATAAGCCTTCCTTAAAGAGACTAAGTGTCTCATTTCCTTCCAAAAATCAACCCAATTCAACTCGTTCACACAAGACACTGATAATGAAGCATAAGGAAGCAGGAAATGGGGGAAACGGAGCGGTTCTCATGAGACGACGGATCGGATCGTCACAGGGGAATAGTTAGCATCGGAGTTCATCAAAAGTTGGTTTGAATTAGTAAATTGCAGCAATTTACAGAGATGAATTTAGCTTATATGCAGTGGGTGCACATACATCTACTATCTCAAACTTAGACTGTATATGGTATACTTTTAAAATCAATATTTTTTTTTTTATAAAAAGAAAAATATGTGTATCAATTAGAAGTGCAGCCGGTGTCTTTACGTGGATCTAGACCAATGATTATAGGTTTTGCAGTTCTGGATCTAGACCAATCTCTTTTCGTGGTCTCATGCTAAGAAGGGGAGCCTTGGCGTAACTGGTAAAGTTGTTGCCATGTGACCGGGAGGTTATGGGTTCGAACCTAAAAATAGCATCTTACCAAAATACATGGTTAGATGCGTATAATAAAACCTTATAGTCCAGTCTTTTCCCGAACCCGCTCATAACGAAAGCTTAGTGTACCAGGCTGCCTTTTTATGATCTCATGATCAAATAGTGTACACTTTACAAGAATGAAGCTTATCCATTTAAGTGGAAGTTGCTTTCATATCTTAACTTTTGTGTTTTAGATTTTAAAACGATGGTTGATTTCCTGTGCTATACTTTTTTGCCGTTGGGATAGGACACAATAAGATCTCGTATATAGTGACACTATAAGCTCGTATGCAGATAGTAATTAATGCTTTCACAATTTTACTTATTTTGTGTTGCTTACAATCAGGATGAATTTAACACTTTAGCCAAAAAATTATATTATTTCTCTCCACGCTTATAATATAGTAATACAAATTACCTTTTTAGCATTATTTGATCAAGTACTTACGTTCATAATATTAGTTTGACTAGTGCATTAAATAAATAACATTGGAACAAAATATGATACTCCCTAATAATGATTGAAAAAAATTAAATTTATAGGGAGAAAATTCACGTGAAAATATTAGTAGGAAAATTGTATAGGCTCAATAGAACAACGATATCAAACATTTTAAATTTCACATAATAGAAGAGTGTCATATAAAATTGGAGCTATCATCTTTAGCTCATACGTACTAATACTTCTTTCTTTTTTTTACCGAGTCTATACATCAAAAATAAAACTTTTCCTAATAACAACCATCTATTTTTTAGACTGNATGGATTCCTTGTGAAATTCTAATGAATTTAGGCTTTTGAATCACTCAATTTGACCTAATAATGAAGGAGATATGTAGGTTTTAAGATTTGCAAATAGTGCAGGTTTTTAATACGCCGTCAGGGACAATTTCGTCATTAACCTGAAAATCTGGCAACCTTGGTAAAATGGCCATAAAATCCTCATACGATGTCCAAATTCGACGATTCTTTTTGCTACGGGTCCGTAATTACGATACGGATCTAATGCTTCATTCAAAACAGTAATCGGAGCTCATTTGTTCAATATGATATCATTTATGCTTGAAGAAACGACGTCGAAGCATAAGAAAAACGAGCACAACGCACCCCAAACCTATCCGAAACTCACCCGAGCTCCTCGGGACCGTATATGAACATACTAACACGTCACCTATGATTATTCAAACTTAGTTGCACTCTCAAAACACCAAAACTAACATCCAAACACCAAATTTACATCGGATTCAAGCCTAAGTTCTTCTAAAACTTTCGAAACACGCATTTGATCAAAAACTCAACCAAATCACCTCCGAATAATCGGAAATTTTGCACACACATCCCAAATCACCTAAAGAAGCTACAACAACTCTCGGAATTCTATTCCGACCCTCGGATCAAAATCTCACCTATCAACCGGAATTCGCCAAAATACTAACTTCGCCAATTCAAGCCTAATTCTACACCGGACCTCCAAAATCACTTCCGATCACACTCCTAAGTCACAAATCATCCCCCGAAGCTAACCGAATCGTCAGAATCCACATCCGAGCCCTCTAACTTATAGGTCAACATCCGGTCGACTTTTCCAAAACAAGCCTTCCTTAAAGAGACTAAGTGTCTCATTTCCTTCCAAAAATCAACCCAATTCAACTCGTTCACACAAGACACTGATAATGAAGCATAACGAAGCAAGAAATAGGGGAAA